CACTTCGCCGTCACCAAAATCCGTTCTTTGTCTAAGTCTTTCCTAGAGAAGTTTTTTTTCATCTTTGGCGTCAGCATGGACACGCGACAATAGTCGATTTACGAGCAAATGGTCACCACACCCGTAGGTTATCGCGCACGCCTTTTACTTCAGCGCGACCCTGATTTATTGCCACAATGAAAATTATCTTAATTTTGAATGATAGCGACGTATCATACAGGGATTTCGTGAAGTGAAACTTTCCTCGTTGAGTTGTGCGGCAAGATTTTACTTTACTTGAATCGAGAAAAGCCTGTTATGAAGTCCTGTTTTTGACCTTGTCATCTTCTTGCCTTGCGTTTGGGTTGGAAATGTGAGGTTGTCAACTGAAATTCTGCAGGGACTGCTTTTGCCAATAAGGAAATCAGACTCATGACATCCAAAGAGAGAGTTCCACCTCCCACTGCACGCTTATGCACTGTACCATCAACATCAATAGCCTTTCCAATATACTGCCGGACAGAGGGTCTATCCAAGAGTTTTGTCACTAAATTTTGTTTTCTGTGATTCATATCAATTTTAATCAGGCAAAACTCTTCAGCTCATCCGATCATTCATCTGGAGGTTTTCCTGCTTGCAGTTTACTTTCTCCAAGAATTCGTTCAAGAGAATTCGTGAATAAGACAGAGATTCCCCCTCTGATGGAATCGAACCCGGCACCTCCGGAGTTCGACGCAGACCTGTTGTACACCGTGCAACCATGCCACTGTCCACCAATCAAAATATGACAAAGTGATGGGTGGCTGTCGCCTATTAAAAAGAGGCAGAGACTTGCTGTAGTTTCAATGACGTTTGCAAATATTTTAAATGATGCTTCATTTCTACAGCGAAAAACATAGTGGGGGGTGCAGGAATAGAATGGCAAAACTGCCCTGAGTTACGGGGAAGTTCTTGCCACATCCTACTGCACACTGAAGGCAGCATATTGCCTTCTCATTCGGGCAGTCAACTAGAGCTACAGACCGGAAGTGAAGATCAGGAAGATCGATATGGCAGCCACATGGAATGACTGGCGTACAGTGTTCAAAGGAGTGCGATAGCTATCTGGTAAACAAGGAACTCGATTTATCTTTATAGAGTGTCCCACTGGTAGATCAGAAACAATGCTCTAAAGGATGAGCTGAGCAGTTCCAACAGCTGTTCAACCACTGCCCTTCAGATTCGTCATTTTCGAACGTTAATCCATTACTAACATGAGGGATTAGTACAGATCCGCCCACAAAACTGGAAGTCTACAAACCCTTGCTACACTTCAGGGTGAAGAAAACCTGCCAATAGGGTTGAATTCCTACGGAGTTAATTAATGGAGGAACGAGAATGATAGAAATTCTTCATGACCTGCTCCATCACATGTGTACACATTTGTCAGAAGGAAGGAAAAGCAAAAAAATTGTCCCTCTATTTAAAGGGTGATGGGTTACC